ATGTTTTGGTAGTGGGCTGGGTACCGGTGTTCCTTTCCATGTTTAGTGCTTCCTTCGAGTGGGTCTCTTGCTAAGGCAGGGCCTGGGTGCGTGGGAACAAAAATCTCTAAGCATTTGCTTATCTGTAAAGGATTTTATTTCTCCTTCACTTATTTGAAGGGTAGTTTGGGCTGGGTATGATAAATTCTGGGGGTTGAAATTCTTATTCTTTAGAATGTTGAATATTGGCCCCACTCTTCTTCTGGCTTGTAGGAGTTTTCTGGCCGAGAGATCTGCTGTTAGTCTGATGGGCGTTCCCTTTGGTGGTGACCGACCTTCTCTCTGGCTGCCTTAAAGATTTTTTCCTCATTCAACTTTGGTTGGACATTGGCAATTATGTGTCTTGGAGTTGCTCTTCTCGAGGAGTAATCTTTGGTGGCATTTCTATGGATTTTCCTGGAATTGAATGTTGGGCCTGCCGACTACGTTTGGGGGAAGTCCTCCTGGATGATATCCTGAAGGAGTGTTTTTCCCAACTTGGTTTCCATTTTCCCCTCACTTTCAGGGCACCCCCAATCAGACGTTAGATTTTCCGGTCTTTACATAATCCCGTACGTTCTGCAGGCTTTGTTCATTTCTTTTTTCTTTTTTTCTTTTTAGGTTTTCTCTCTGCTCATTTCATTCATTTGATCCTCAATCGCTGGATACCTTTCTTCCAGTTGATCAAGTCGGTTACTGAAGCTTGTGCATTTGGTCCATATATTTCTCGTGTCATGGTTTTCATCTCTGTGTCCATTCTTTTTTATGGGCCTTCTGTGCATTATTTATTCTAGTTATGAATTCTTACACTCTTTTCTCAAGATTTTTAGTTTCTTTGCACTGGGTACGTAATTCCTCCTTTAGCTCTGAGAAGTTTGATGGACTGAAGCCTTCTTCTCTCATTCTCGTCAAAGTCATTCTCCGTCCAGCTTGATCCATTGCCGGCGATGAGCATGTGTTCCTTGCAGGGGGCGATGCGCTCTTATGTTTGGACTTTCCAGCTTTTCTGCCCTGCTTTTTTCCCCATCTTTGGTGGTTTATCTGCCTCTGGTCTTGATGATGGTGATCTACTGATGGGTTTTGGTGTGGGTGTCTTTCCTGTTTGATAGTTTTCCTTCTAACGCAGTCAGGACCCTCAGCTGTAGGGTCTGTTGGAGATTGCTTGAGGTCCCTCCAGGGACCCTGTTTCGCCTGGGTGTCTGCAGCAGAGGGCTGCAGAAGATAGAATATTGCTGAACAGCGAGTGTACCTGTCTGATTTCTTGCTTTTGGAAGCTTCCTTCTTCAGGGCCGTGTACTCTACCGTGTGAGTGTGGGTGTCGGGTCTTGACGAGTTGATGGGTGCTGACGAGTTGATGGGTGCAGCACGCCAACATGGCACAAGTATACATATGTAACAAACCTGCACATTATCCACATGTACCCTAGAACTTAAAGTATAATAAGAAAAAAAAAAAGAAAGAAAAAGAAAAGGTAGTGGTGACTAGAAGAGAAAGTACATAAGAGATATTTCTAATCAAAGTCAAAAATCTTGTTGATACATTGAACATTTCATATGTGACACTCACTTGATTAGTAGACAAGTTGATGATTATTGCATCTGTGTGTATGGATGCTATAGTCATATTTACATGCTAAGAAACTACTACCAACAAATTACAAAAAAAAAAAAAAAAAGAAAAAGACAAGCTCAACACTGAATTCATAGAAAAAAGAAAATTCTCAAGCATCAAATCACAGGAAATAGAAAAGTACAGAAATCTGAAGACTTGCATATACAACCACTTAAAAACAACTAAGGAGGCTTTCAGCAACAAATACCAGCTATATCTGGCCTTGCAGCAAGTAGTAAACTAAGTGTGTTAGCCACACTCACTATGTGTGTAAAAACTCAATAAAGTGCCCCAAGCAGAGATAAAGCTCTGGCTGTTTTAGGCTATATGGTTTAGGGAAAAGAGAGCACAAGATTTCTTCCACCCTGGTTTGATAAAATGAATATATCTCTGCAATAAAATAGGAGAGACAGACAAATATGAGGTTCAAAGCATATAAACATATTAAATGTAGAAAGTGGTTCTCTAACTTTACAAAGGCAGGCTAGTAAAAACAATTTTTTTCATAAAGAAAAAAAAAATAGCAAGTAGTTCTCTAAAACAACTGTGGATATGGCCTTAACAGAGCTGACTACTATAAAAGACAAGATACCAAAGGAATCGTTACCCTTAACTGTAACTATTTGCTACCTAAAACGACCCCTGGGATCCCAATATTTTGTAGACAGGAAGCAGGTTCAGAAATGGTATAATCTTCAAAATCCATTTGAAATATAGTCAACAAAGATATTAAAAAATAAAAACACCAACAAGACCACAAGGAGCAACATACTAGGAACCCGGTCAAAAAACTCTGAAAAGATAATCATGGTAAATAAAAGAGCAATCCCTACTCGTGGGCAAAGGCTCTTATTTAACCTATCCAGTGAGATTTTAAAATTGTTACTAGTGATAGCTGTGTGTCTCTGATTTTTCACCTTTCCTATTGCGAATGTTTACAGTAAACACCCTACCTTTGTCTCACCACTGTATACTAGGCATGTTGGGAAAAAACAATTTAGATTGTAGTTCTAAAAAGGGACCATATCTGGACCTGATAATATACAGACTGCAGCACACTATTCCCCTCCTATTACCCAGAGTTCCTGGACTTCTGAGCTTGAGGCCCCAGCTGAATGGAACTTTCAGATTTTCTCCCAAGAGGACAAGATATGTTAATTTGCCTCTGAGATGGAGACTCCGAATATTTGGTGAACAAAAGAAAAGAATGTGGTATATTTGTGCTATTCACTAAGTATTTCCAGTTCTCTCCCTTCTAAGTTCATAGTAGGCTCTCACTCTCTGGCCCCATTATGATTGGGTGGAACCATGTGGATATAAATTGAAATCGAATGTGTCACTTCCAGGCCAGAGTATTTAATTACAGATACAAATCTAACACAGCTCTATTTCACTTCGAAATTATATCAGGTAATGTTCCACGTTGGAATTACACTATCAGCTGAGTTCCGAAGGTGAGGACAACATGAGACAGGGCCCCAAGACAGACCCCAATGAGTATGTAGCATGAGTAAAATATCAACTTTTGCTATTTGAAGCCAGAGAGTTTAGGGCATAACCAAGTCTATCTCTGCTAATATATGCCTCATGCTGTTTCTATCCATTCATAAAGTTTTATATTTCATATCTCTTGACAGTCTGGTACTTCACTACCTAAAGCAGTATAATTATATTTGTGTATTTCTCTGTGTATTTCCTCTTCCAAGCCACTTATTAAAATGACATTGAAAAATATTTAATAGAACTGACCCCAATCTTGAGAATAGGGTGGTTCATTTATAATCTCCATTTAAATTCTACTCCTAATTGTATTTCTTAATTCTTAGTAAATTTTCTTCCAATGATATAACACAGATGCTCTACATGAAGTCAATTTAATTTTCACATACCAAATTTTATATCTTTGAGAAATATTGCTAGGAAATTCTTACATACATTATTTATGCTATGACCCATCTATAAATCTTCTTCAGCTGCTTTGTTTAATGAAAAGCAGCTAATAATTTAAGCTGTTTAAGATATTAAATCAAGAAAAGAAAAAAATTTGAACAGAAAAACTCAAATAGAAGCCAATTCCTATATAAAATGAAAGGTAACATAAACATACATAAGTGATTTAAAAATTCAAGTATTATTTATAAATCTTATCTCACTAAAAACCATTTACTCGCCATAATGCATTCATGGATATCTCTTTGCTTCTGTTATTTGGAGAATATATTATAACCCATAAATTAACACAAGAATAATCATTAATGTGGGGGAGAACCACATATTTCGGGTCTTTCGTTCTATTTTGAGTCTGTCATAAAATTCTCAATCTTTGAGTTTACATAAGCATATTTTTCCTCCAAAATACACCAAGGAAAGTAAATGGAATGGAACTGAATAAACAGTTATAGAGCTCTCAGGGGAGAGAGTCAGGAGAAAAGTATAAATATATAATGGATGTGCACTTTTATTACCTGAGCATTTAGCAACTCCTCACACTTGTGTGCCTGTTTCTCAATTGCAGAAATGTACTGTTTTTCAATAGCTTCTACTTGTTGCTTAACTGAAGACTGCAGTAGTGCCTGAAAACAAGCAAAAAAATCATTTGGATCACAGACAAAACTTGGAATCTACTGTTGGCATGAGAATATTTTTGACAGTTTTACATACTGTAATATGATATTCTCCTAAATTACAAAATATGTATTTGTTAATACTGAAGCACACTTATATATAACATTACTTTCAGCTTTTGCTTTTACATTTTCCTATTGCCAAGATAACAGTTTTTTGGCTCAGACATTCCTTCCACACATCTTCTCCTTAAAAAGGCCAAGTCATAGAAGATGATAGAGAGGGTGAGTAGTTCTGTTAAATATAAATTTGGTTCAGTGAAGACCACACAGGATGAAGAGTGTATGAAAGCTGCTGAAAAAAAGAAAAAAAGAAAAAAAAAGAAAAGGAAAAAAAATCCAGACATATTTCACTGGCTGACAAAACTCCACATCCTCTCGGCACACTGTAATATCCCATGGGCCAAGCATGATCTTCAAGACCACAAGTCAAGTAAAAGCAGATGGAAACTTTGAGCAACTTCAAACATAAAAGAACTGCCCCCCCTCCCAGAAAGTTCACGCTCCTAATGTGAAAAGGTATAAGTCAAAGTACGTAAGTCAGAGTCTCAAGGCAGTACGCATAAAAAGTAATAAAATTTGGGAGACTGGGCACACTTAATTGGATACTGTAAATGCTGCAACTCAAGTCAGATAAATATAAAGATATTACCACTGTTTCAAGGAAAACCAAATCAGCATTTGATGATGTTCCACCCACTCACTTCCTTATTAGAGATGCTTAGAATATTATCATCTTTTTTCTTTCCCACTGTTTAGCTTTGTATGTTATATCAACAAGTTCTCAGTAATATCTTTCATGCTATTTATAAACTCTAAATCATTCTATAAGAACTATAGCAAATATTCTATTTTTAAATGTCTGTTTAAATAATAAACTACTCATAACCAAAATAATAAGTTGAAACAGACACATCTTATAGAAAACAGACCGTTGGCACATTCACCAAGAAAAAAAAAAATCAGCCAAATCTCTTAATCTCTGTTATGAAAATAGATTTACTTGGTTGAAAACACCATGCAATAAGATGCTGGATAAATAGGCATGTATTTTTAAAAGCTGAGACAAAAATATTTGTGAAACTTCTAAATAAGTCTCGAATTTTCAAATAACTAACTTTCTTGCGCAAAAGTAAGACTCTGATGATGCTACTACTCCTACAATTCAGTATTCGTCACTATGAAGCTGCAAAATTAGTAGCAAATTAATAAAGGAAAATGAAGCTCTGAGTTTTATCAAAATATAAGGAAAATGCTTACTAGAATTGCTTTAGCCCTTGATTTACAGTGCCTTCCAAAGATTCCACAATGATTAATTTATGTAAGGCACAAAAGCTTAATCCTTTTAAACTGTGACTAGATGATATAAATCTAGTTTACCTGTGTGGAAACATACTATTTGTTGGGATTTCAGAAAAGTTAAAAAATAATATAATTATAAAAAATTTCCTTAGAATAATCACAGCATCTTTGGTAAAGAGAAAAAAATGACATTCTATTTGGGGACTTGGGATATTATAGAATCATTTTGCTTAATAGAAACAACTGCGTTCACTTCCCTATTTGCCATGGTTCCAAATAATCCCACACTTTAAATATTCAACATTTAAATACTCAATATTCAACTGCAATTTGTAGTATATTATATCCTTTGGAGGACAGGTGAGTTAATAAAATAAAATAATATTCTCACTCCATAATTAAGAAACACAATTTGAATAGGGTAGTCGTCCTCTAGGGATTGATCTGTATACCATATACTCATTCTCCTTGAAATGGCAAGGAGGATAATGAGTAAAATAAGGGCCAAAGATGTGATAAGGGAGCATAAAGGAAATTTATGCAAGAGTAACTGGCCTTCTACATATTTCAAATGTCTCATCTCAGCCCCATTCAGTCATTTAAATCCATGGATCAACAAAAGGCCCACAAAGGTAGGTATATAATGATTTTTTCAAAAGTCTTCCACGTTGTGCTCAGTCTGAAGTTGAAGACAATCATTCCCTTGATAATCACACACTGTAGGTATATGCTGGATGCCTATCAGAGAAAGAAAGTTGCCCCAACCCTGGTGACCTGTTATACTCACCACTATACACAAAGGACATTCAAAGATAAGAATAGCTATTCCTTGTATATTCTGGATATTAGTCCTTTGAATCATATGGTGAAGATTTTCTCCCACTCTGCGCGTTGTCTGTTTACTCTGCTGACTGTTCCTTTTGCCATGCAAAAGCTCCTTAGTTTAATTACGTTCTGCCTATTTATCTTTGTTTTTACTGCATTTGCTTTTGGGTTCTTAGTCATGAAATCCTTGCCTAAGCCAACGCCTAGAAGGGTTTCTTCAATGCTATCTTCTAGAATTTTTATAGTTTCAGGTCTTAGATTTAAGTCCTTGATCCATCTTCAGTTGATTTTTGTATAAGGTGCAAGATGAGGATTCAGTTTCAATCTCCTAGATGTGCCTTGTCAATTATGCCAGCACCATTTGTTGAATAGGGTGTCCTTTCTCCATTTTATGTTTTTGCTTGCTTTCTCCAAAGGTAGTATTTTGATGGAAATTGGGTTGAATTTGTAGACTGCTTTTGGCAGTATGGTCATTTTCACAATATTGATTCTACCCTTCCATGAGCATGGGATGTATTTCCATTTGTTTGTGTCATCTATGATTTCTTTCAGCAGTGTTTTGTAGTTTTCCTTATAGACGTCTTTTGACGCCTTGGTTACGTATATTCCTAAGTATTTTATGTTTTTGTAGCTATTCTAAAAGGGGCTGAGTTCCTGATTTGATTCTCAGTTTGGTTGCTGTTGGTGTATCGCAGAGCTACTGATTTGTGTACATTAACTTTGAATCCTGAAACTTTGATGAATTAATTTATCAGTTCTAGGAGCTTTTTGGAGAAGTCTTTAGAGTTTACTAGGTATACAATCATATCATCAGCAAAGAGCAACAGTTTGACTTCCTCTTTACCGACTTGGAAGCCCTTTATTTCTTTCTATTGTCTGATTGCTCTGGCTAGGACTTACATTAGCAAGAAAAAAACAATCCCATCAAAAGGACATGAATAGACAATTCTCAAAAGAAGGTATACAAATGAAACATATGAAAAAATGCTCAACATCACTAATGAACAGGAAAATGCAAATCAAAACCACAATGCAATAAATACCACCTTACTCCTGCGAGAATGGCCATAATCAAAAAATTAAAAAAGTAAAAAATAGATGTTGGAAGGGATGTAGTGAAAATTGAACACTCTTACACTGCTGGTGGAAATGTAAACTAGTACAACCACTATAGAAAACAGTGTGGAGATTCCTTAAAAAACTAAAAGTAGAAATATCATTTGATCCAGCAATACCACTACCAGGTATGCACCCAGAGGAAAAGAAGTCATTATACGAAAAAGATACTTGAACACACATGTTTATAGCAAAACAATTCGCTATTGCAAAAATGTGGAACCAGTCCAAATGGCCATCAATCAGCGAGTAGATAAAGAAACTGTGGTATAAATATATGATAGAATAGTACTCAGCCACAAAAAGGAATGAATTAATGGCATTCACAGCAACCCGATGGGACTGAAGACTATTGTTCTAAGTGAAGAAACAGAAATGGAAAACCAAATGTCGTATGTTCTCACTTATAAGTGGAAGCTAAGCTATGAGGTTGCAAAGGCATAACAATGACACAATGGACTTTGGGGACTTGGGGGAATGGGTAGGAAGGGGGTGAGGGATAAAAGTCTACAAGTTGGGTTCAGTGCATACTGCTCAGGTGACGGATGCACCAAAATCTCACAAATCACCACTAAAGAACTTACTCTTGTAACCAAGTATCACTTGTTCCCCCCAAAACCTATGGAAAAAAAAATTAAAAACAAAACTAAGAATAGCTGGAGTACCGAAGCTGGAGTTAAGAGTGGAGCTAAATGATTACGCAAGAAGGCAGGTGTCAGGTATTAAAAGAACTTGTATGACAACAAGGAGTTTAAGCATTGGTCCTACTGCTCAACACTGTGATGACTAGTGCCATAATCCAAGCAAACAAGGTAATTTCCAAAACTGCCCCTACTACTAGATTAAGCACTGTGGATATACAAATACACATTGATACTAGCCACATGCCTTTATAACTTGCTCTATTATTATATAACTGAATATTTATCTTCCAGTTTAATGTATCATAATACACAAAGACTCCTTTACGTTTCTCATATCTCATAATACAATCTTAACATTTGCTGACTTATTGTCTTCTTCTGTAACTGTCTCTACAGATACCCAAGACAAAGAGGCCTTCCTTGAGCTTATACAACATTTAAAAAAGATATATGAAAGAATAATTTCATTTCTAATCTATTTTCAACTATTTAAACACCCATAAAGCATTAAGACTCTCACAGTATATACAGATAGAAATGCCAAGATACATACCAACATACTCTATATTGAAAAGAATGCTATCAAGGGCAGAAAATGTTTTGTTGATTTTGAATATATTTACATCTTAGCCACAGTTTTATCAGAGATTTATAGTATTATCCAAGAGGATTTAATTCACTAAGCTTAAGGAAAACTATCACAATTTAAGAATAATTTTTAGGCCGGGCAGAGTGGCTCACACCTGTAATCCCAGTACTTTGGGAGGCCAAGGCGGGTGGATCACGCTGTCAGCAATTCGAGACCAGCCTGACCAACATGATGAAACCCTGTCTCCACTAACAATACAAAAATCAGCAGGGCATCATGGTGTGTACCTGTAATCCCAGCTACTCAGGAGGCTGAGGCAGGAGAATCACTTGAACCCAGGAGGCGGAGGTTACAGTGAGCTGAGGTCATGCTGTTAACCTCCAGCCTGGGTGACAAGAGCAAGATTCCATCTCAAAAGAAAAGAAAAAAATAAATTTTCAAGTGTTAAAATATTTCTAGATCTCTTAATACAG